CTGTCACGGTCACAACCCTGTTGAGATGAGGCAAGAGCAGCACAGCCACACAGGGCACTTACTGATGCCATGGACTTCGTGGCGATGATGTCGTCAGCGTGCTTGCGGCTACAGGAGTACCGGATGGCTTTCCGCACCTCCTTGTTGAAGACGATGCGGAAGAGGAAGATGAATGGACCCTGCAGGGATAATTTGAAATGTAAGAGGTGAGATCAGTCATCTGTCATTTGTTATGGCACGTGTCATGTTTTTAAAAGTGACATCTAACCTTTCATGTCATCATGTTCTGTTTCTGTTTAAAACAGCATCTGCACCCAGAAATATTCATTTGAGCCTTAGTACATCCCCATGCTGTTGGTCATTAGGACATAAAAACAGTCATAAACCTAATGAGCTGGTCAATGTTTTATGAATGCGGTACTTGGGGCCTAAACCTCACTGGACTGGCTTGTCCACAGGGCTGCTGGGAGCGTTACCTGCACACAGTTGAAACCGGCAAACAGGTAGTGGAAGATGACTGTGTCACTGTTGACGGAAAAGAGTGCTAGGAGCCAGGTGACGCTGACCAGGAGAAGGACCCCACAGGCCACTCGCAGGCCAGAGCTACAGAGAGGGAGACAGTTTCTTATTTCCTCAGTCCAGTACAGATAGATAATAATCATCATCAGTAGCGAAACAAGGGCACAGGACCACAGTCAGAAACTTAAAGGGGACTCACTTAGAACAGAAAATGTGAATTTCTTTATTCACTTAGCTTTACTCACTTGTACGTACCAAACGAGCGGGATAACCTTATGTATATTATGTACTGTATCTACCATACATATAGAATGATTATCCAATCTTAAAACCATCAATCTTGGTATTAAACCTGGTGTGGTTCTATACCTTAAGGCAGGAAAGTGAACTAATGTGGGTTTGTGCTATGAAGCACGGAAATGATGCTGTGCAGTTCTCTACTATTACACAGGAAGGTTATAGTGGTTGTGTACTATAATGCAGGGAGGTATGGAAATGCGGTTCTAAATCATAACACAGGAGGTGATAAGTACAGTTATGTGATATAATGCAGGGAGGTATGGAACTGGGGTTCTGAATTATAATGCAGGAGACGAGTTCGTTCTGTATTATAACACGGGGAGGTAAGGAAGTGTGGTTCTGTACTCACACTGGCCCTCCTTTCTTCTCGAAGCCGTGGTGACGTGGGGAGCAGGAAGCCCGAGCAGCCAAGATGCACATGAAGACGTTCATCTAAGGTAAAGAAAATACAGCAGTGCATTATTAGACCTGCTATAGTAAAAACAATTAAAATTCTAATAATCATGAAAAAATACAAGAGAAAAAAGGAGAAACTATAAGCAGAGGAATAATAAGAAAACAGCAAGAAGGCAATGGTGATTATATCCAGCCAGTGTTCTCCACTTGTGCCAAAAGGTGCTATAAAAGATCACGTTGTTGCTGGGTACAGAGGTGGCCACACTCACAGACACAGCCAAGGCGATGGGGCCGGCGAAGCTCCAGATCAGGTTGTCATACATGGACAGCCAGCAGAAATCAGGGTTGCCATAACCCTCAGGATCCAGACCCACAGCCAGCCCTGCCAGGGTCACAGACAGATCAGCCCTGGTCAGCCCCTTCAATGCCCCTCTACAACTCACCCCAACCCCACAGGCCACTTCAGTCCACCCATCATATGCGCACATTTACACCACGCCTCCTATGCACAAAAGAGGGACTGAAGCTGAACATTTCAAACAAGAACAGAGGAGGCCTGCACTGGGAGCAGCCATCCTGCCAATGGCCATAAATATAAATCCTGAAGACGTGGAAGCCACTGGGCCCTGAGGCTGCGCCGCACACAGCAGGGCTGGGACGCAGAAGGGACTGACCTGTGATGAAGGCGGGCACGCCCCAGCCGATCATGTAGTAGAAGCGCATGGGGCCGTAGTTGATGTCGCGCACCTCAGTCATCATGCGGTACATGTGCAGCCCCTCCAGGAAGAGCCAGGCGAAGGAGCACATGTAGAAGAAGTGCAGCAGGATGGCGATCACGGTGCACAGGAACTGCGGCGAGAGCGAGGGTCAGGGCAGGGAGAAAGGGCCAGCCAGGGCAGGACACGCAGCCGAAACGGAGCGCGCGAGCCGCCTACCGGGTTGTCGGCCTGGTTTATGCCGAGGATGAAGATGAGCTCGGAGAGGAAGAGCGCGCTGGCTGCGTTGTTGATGATGCTGGTGTGGTTGGAGTGCAGCGAGCGCAGCAGCAGCAGGACCAGCACGGTGAGGAAGAGCCCGCCCAGCGTCACCCCCACAGTGCTCATCGTCACCACTTTCAGAGGCAGGATCTCCCCATTCTGCCACAGGGAGAGAAGGGATTATGGGATTGCCACCAGAGCACAGATCCTGGGTTCAAGTCCCGGCGGGGGACTTCGGATAATCAGCCTACAGTTTCTGTCTTTATATATGACCATAGCTTCAGGGGCACCTACCTCCCTGCGGGAGATGTCCATGAGCACGGCGAAGCTGGTCATGTGACTGCACTGGCAGCTGATGTGCGTGTGGTTTCGGAACACGACCTCGCAGCCCTTGGCTGACCAGCCGCCCGTCCCACCAACCCTGGGCGGGACAGAGAGGAGGGAGGCGTGAGCACGTCGTCAGGGAAGAGTCGGTCACCTTACAACCCCCCGGCAGGCACGGACGAGAGAGGCTCAGAGCCGCACAGCGCTGCCCCCCGGACGGTACCGGCGCACGCCTGCGGGCTGCACTCACGGGATGGAGTGGTTCCAGAAGACGCAGATGGGCTTGGAGCGCTCCTCGGTGTGGACCAGGCGGAACTGCACCGTGATGGGCTTGTCCAGCGGCCGCTGCAGCAGCTCCTCGTTGTCGTGGACAGTGATGCTGACCACAGGCGTGTTGATGACCGGCCTCTTGGGCACCCTGGAGAAACACAACCGGACAGTCAGCTCCTGGGCTACAGCTGCTGCTGTCCACTCCCTGTTCAAGACCTCTACTGGCACAACAACTACCACAACGCTGATGGGAATTTCAGAAAAGAACCCGGTACTCTTATTCTTATTACTTGAGAGGCTCACTCTCTGTCCCTCAGGCTGTGATAACATACGCAATCTGTCTCTGCTTCTCCCTGATGGCAGTGGGAGTACAGCCAGTCCCCTCTGGGCAGTCAGTTCTATGTCCAGTTTCTATGCCCAGGCTGTGGTCACCGAGCCTGTTCTCTCTGTGCTGTCCTCTGGGCTCAGCAGGGCCCTGTGTGTGTGCCAGAGTGTGATGTAGCCAGCGTCGAGCTGTGTTTGGTCTCACTGTGCTGTAGCTATGCTGCCCTTGGACTGGCTGGTGTCAGGGAGTTTCAGGGGGTTCTTGGTGGCAGCACCTCCGATTGCTTCTTCTCCCTGAGTGAGAGTGGCCTCTGCTCTGCGTGTCTGTACCTCAGGCTCCTCTTATCTGGGTCGTAGTGCTCAGGCAGCAGGGGTGCCAGACTGTGGTA